TTGTCTTGTTTTGAACAACATAAACATTTGTTATTCTTATCCTGACCTCAAAAGACTTACCGTTTGGAAGAGGGACTGATCTACAATTACAACGGTGTAGTACACACTCCTCAAGAGGGGACCAGTATCCTGCAGAAGCTTGGACTCCACCTTTTTGAAGCCATGGAGGCTCCATGGATGTTCCCATTTGAAGCCTCTGACAGCTTCTGCTTCGTAACTGGAAAAAGGTTGCTCTTTGATTTGGGGACAATACTTAAAAGTTAAAGCCAGCAATTTCACCCATGAGTTAAATCTCCCTGTTTGTAGCTGTAAATGGCTGTCCTCACTGGGAGCAGAGTTGCTTTGGAGAAGGCCATCCTGGTGGGAGGGAGGGCAGCTGAGAACCAGAAGGAGGGAGGGAAGAATAGTTTATCGCCATCTCTGGGCCCAGAGAGGGCTGAGGGCAGGGGTGGGGCTGGATTTTTGTGGAGGGTCTTGGTCACAAGGAGGTGAGAACCAGAAGTTGGCTCGCCTTAAACACAGGCCAGCAGACCAGACCCGGAGAGCATCCTTTCACCTGGCAGGGGATACCCAGAGCGGGGGTGGGTGGGTACATGTATCCAATTTGCAGTTTTTCTGTTATGCATCATAATTTTCTCTTGCCATTCCCAAACCTTTCTAGAAAAGTTTGTTTCTGGTCCTATACATGCACTGTAGGGTCACAGAGGATCCCATGACTCTGACTGGTGGCAGTTGAACAAGCAAAGAAGGAGCAGTGAGGAGAAAAGAGATGACAGGACAGAGAGAGGTGGCTCCAGTTGCACGGACAGCAATAACAGCTGAGCTGAATGTGTGGGACCTGAAAATGAAGAGGTCCTTAGAAATACTCCAGGGAGAGAAACTGGACAAATGGCTGGTCTTCCCATGATCTCAGCCCAAGGTTCCTCAAGCATAAAAGGGAAGGGTTACTCTTAAGGCTGGAGAACCTGTGAAATCAGGATTAACTTAGGTGTGGAGTAAGAAAGGCCAGGGCTCAGGGAGAAGCGCACAGGGGAAGTAGTTTTTAAGCAGAGTTTTGAAGTATGAACAGGAGTTTGACAGTGAACCAAATGAAGAAAATTATTTGAACTGCTCTCTCAAGTTTTCACCCATCAGACGCCAGCTGGGAAATTCACATGGGCCTTAAAAAACCCCAAGTTCCAGCAGGTTTAGGCCCCCATCCACTTGAAGCAGAAGAATGGGGCAGCCCTGGCCTTTTGGAGTCATCTGTGGAGAGGAACGTGGCTGGCTCCCTTGGGCTCCACTGGGGTTTATGAGCCTGGCAATGAATAGCATTCCCAGCCCCATTTCAGGCACTTCTGATTCAGTAGAGTGCTTATAGACTGCTTTTGTCAAAATGCGTGAACTCTCCTGGGAGCAAGGAGATTTATTCAGTCTTCATCTTTGCCGAGTTGGATCTTGTTTGCCGTTACCTGCAAAAATATATTTCTTGGGCCCAGTTCCCAGAGGAGTGATGTTAGGTCATTACTGCGTGAATTGTTAGGCTGTAAAGGAGCCATTCCTCACTCACCCACAACTCAGAGGTGGTGCTGGGCACCCAGGTCATTGCAGGCACTCCTGTTAGGACCATCTGCTACGGTGGCCGCTGATGATGGCCCCGCATGTGCTGAAAGCAGACCCTTGGGAACTGCGGGTGCATGTTAACCACTTCTCTCCTGCCTCTGTTTTAGCAGATATGACACGACAGAGGAGCCAGCATGCTGAGCAAAAGAATAGAGTGAGGTGGGCATTCCGAGTTTATCAGCACTAAAGAGTGTTTCTGCCTTGTTCTGCCTTGTGGGAGAAATAGAACAGTGTGTTGTTCTGTAGTCTCCCCTCTTGTGAAGTGCGCACTGGGGGCTCGGACCACCGGGACCCAGGGAAGCAGGCGAGGCTGGCACGGGGCCTCAAAGCAGCTCAGTAACTTGGGCTACTTCTGCAGGAGGCATTCCCCTCCTTCTCCCCAGGCAGTCCCAGTCCTTCCCTATTGAAACCCCTTTGCACCTCCTGTCCTGCATCAGAGCTCTCCTGAACAAGGGCCCCTTGCCTCAAAACCCAACTGCAGACACTAGAGACAGAGGGGAGAAACAATGACTAAGCAACTAATTCTGGGGGTGCTAATGACTGAAAGAGCCTAACTATACCTCCTTACCCTCCAAGAATGCTTTCTTCTTCAGGATTAGCATAGGTCTTTGTCGTTAAACCAGTGGTTCTCAATCAGAGCAATTTTTGTTCCCCCTTTTCTCCTCCAGCACATTTAACAAGGTCTGGAGATACTCTTGGTTACCACAGCTGGGGAGAGGGAGATTATCGGCCACTAGAGGGCAGAGGCCAGGGATGCTACCAAACACCCTACAATGCACAGGACAAAGAACCTATGACAAGGAATCATACCGTCTCACTTGCCATCAGTGCCAGGCTGAGAAATCCTAAATTAGAAAGGGTTAGATTCTAGTCTGGCTAAAAAAAAAAAAAAAAAAAAGCCACTTTCAGTTCCTTCAAGGAGAAATTAGCCTAGAAGAATCTGGAAAGCAGGGTGGGGGAAGGGGACCTTTGCCTCCACCATCCCACCCTCAATTTGCAGGATGGTCAGGCACATTTTCGAGAGCAGTGCTGCCCAGCAGAACTTTCTGTGATGATGGGAAAGTCCATACCTGTGCTGTCTAATATGATACCTTCCAGCCACATGTGGCTATTAAGACTGACGATTGACTTTTAATTTTATTTGCAATTAATTTACAATTAAAATTAAATAGTTCCAGGTGACTAGTGGCTATTCTATTGGAAAGTGCCTTTTTCAACTCGTCAAAACAGTCCCCTCCCCACTCTTTCTGGGGTGTCACATCTGCTTGGGGGGAACATCCTTCACAATGAGGTACTAATGGCAGGTAGGAAAGTTTATCCTTTTTCCCAGATTTTCACCTGAGTGAGGGGTTCACACTGGAGGTCTGAGGGTGAGAGCGGGACAGTGCCAGGGTTACTGCGTGGGTGGGGCACAACGGCCTGCAGTCTGTGTGCAGAGGTGCCTGCCACACAGCAGTACCGGAGCCAGGCAGCCCGGGCCCGTGAGGACGCCAAGGCCAGAGGCTCTGTCTGCAGAACTTGGAGCCTACACTGTCCCAGAGAGCGCTCAGGCACTTCCAGAGCTTTCACTCCTGAGCCAGGCACACAAGGGTGTGGAGGGTACCAACGGGCCAGTGAGATGAGGGAAGGACAACCTCTGGTGAGATGCAGAACATTAAGGGCCTAAAGTAAGGTTTGGAGGGAAGACCCCCCAAAATTGGCACCCTGTAGGGAGGCTGGACCTGGTTCTACCACTTTTATCACTTTAGCACTGGGAGGTGACCTCCTGGCCCCACCAGACGTACAGATGACAGTGTGAGGTCCTCTCAGGCTCCATTCACAACACGGCTTTTTAGGCAGTTTAGGTAATGTAAAAGCCAGTTTATTCTTACCACAATATACAAGCTTTGTAGTAATAAAATATTAGTGCAGATAGCAGGGCGAGGGTTAAATCCCTGGGCAGGACTCTGATTCAGGCAGGAAGTTTGGGCAGTCAGCTCGGGCTGTTCCCATCACTGCTCTTAGTCATGATTTTAACACGCCAGGTAAAATTTGGTGAAAATCTGCAGATTTCTCTGTAGCCAACTTCCTTGATGCCTTTATGTCTTTGCTCAAATATCACTCTTTCTTCCCTGTTCCAGTTCCTCCCAGAGTTTCTCACGCTTTAAGTCCCTCTAAAATTTACTTATTTACTTGGTGGATTTCCATTGCCTGTCTTGCCCAATGAGAACCGCGGCTTCAAGAAGGCAAGGTTTGGGCCTGTTTCTTCCTTTTCAGCAGCCCACGTGTTAACAGTCACATCTGTCCAGTGGATGACACACTTCAGGCACTGTGAGTGGCTGGTGCCTGTCACCTCACAGCATTTTTCACAGCAGGAGGAGGGGCAAAGGAAGGGAGGCCCAGGGCTTCAGCGACCTGCCCAAAATCTCTGAAAGTGTGATCTCCGCACGTGCGTGGCCGGGCGGGGAGTGAAACGCCTGTACCGCCCAATCGCCCCGCTCCATCTGTGCCCTGCACCCTGCAGAGACAGTACAGTCACAACCAAATCATGGTGGCACCTTGGCCTAGCAGTCCACCATGCCTCCTGGAGAGTTTTTGAGCTCCCAGAGAAGGACTGGAACCATTTATCTTATTTGACAGAGAGGCAAATGTGAAAGGTATTGTGCTTAAAGCTCAGCTACCAGAGGCACGTGCCCCGTAGAGCTCAGTCTGAAAAAAGCCAAAGGAACAGATCATATCTCTGCAGCAAAAATGGAAGTCAGTGGTAGGAGAAGATTCTGATGACGGAACTTGGAATTACTTACAACCTTCCCCAGAAAGTCTCTTTCCATGAAGTCTCTTTTCATGAGCCTAACTACTTTCAAGCACTAATTCAGGGGATATTTCTAGAGCAGAGAATTCTGGAATGTTTCTTGGTAATCCAACTTGAGGTTACCTTCAGAAAATGTTTCAGATTTACCTCTATATCTCTGTAGAAAGGGAAGAGGGAAGAAGAGTCCAGGAGAAATGGATGGGGAGATAGAAGAGTGTGCTATCCACTGAGCTATTCCAAAGAGATGCCCATTTCCAGATGTGGTCAAAGTACAAGTGGTCTCACTTACTGTTGCATGATGATGGGAGCTGGAACTTAGCACCTCAACACAACTATTTCCTCATGCTCGTGGATTCTGTGGGTCAAGAATCCATTCAGGCTACAAAGGGAGATGGCTTATCTCTGTTCCATGCTGTCTGTCCAGAATGTGCGCTGCTACTGCTGACCTAGCCATGTCAACATGGACAGTCTGACTTCTAAGCTTCCTCACAGCACGGTGACTTTGGGGGCCGCTCAGACTTCTCATCTGAAGACTCAGGGATCCGAACACAAGTAACCCAGGAAATGAGGCAGCAGCTGAGTGGGCTTCTTTTTTTTTTTCCCTCCACACTGTACAATCCCCTTTAGTGCTCACAGCCCACAGAAAAGGAGGCTGGGCGATGGTTCGAGGCTGCAATTTACTCTGGCGTGGGTATGCTATGGAAGGCCCACAGGGAAGGGCCCACCGTATGAACGGACTTCTCTGACAGAGCGGGAATCATTTGTGCCATTTCTGTCACATCGTTTTGATGACAAGCTAGTCACAAATCCATTCAGATTCAAGCTTAAGGGAGGAGGCGTAAACCTCATATCTCAAAGAATATGTAGCCACAGAAAGCAAGAGTAAACAGCTCTGAATCAAGTCACCCAGAGGGGTGAAGTCATGGACCAGCAGATGTGGAACAGAGGTACTGTCAAGACTCAGTGACGTCCAACCAGGGAAAGCAATGAGGTGTGCGACACAGAAGCATGGTGGCCAGGCTTGGAGGCCGAGTTCGAGCATGAGACTTGGGGCATTGGCCCAAGGGACTGAACGCTCTGGGTCTCTGTCTGCTTTGAGGGGGTGGAGGGTACAAAGGGATGGTGAGAACAAAGAGAAATAAAATGAGATGCTGGAGAAAGACACAACATAAGCTGTTTTGTTTGTACTGTGTAGTTTCGCTGCTGTTTGGGGGTGTTTTCTTCATATTGTCTTCAGCACAACTCCTGGCCAGGCTCCAGCTCCGTTCCCTCCGCTGCCATAGAAGGAAAAAACTGACCAGTCCCTGTCATTTCCTGCTTTTTGGAGGCAGCACAATGTACCAGGAGAATGAATGTGGGTGGCAGGCCTTTGATTCTGGCCCAGCGAATGCCAGGTTAGTTGCCTTGTACTGAGAGAGGACCCTCAGGGTTCCAAGTTTCAAATACTTCACCAAGTGCCAAGCTGGGATCATATCCCTCTGTGAGGACTGCCGCAGAATGATTCGTTTCTTAATTCTCCCCTGCCACCTCGTGGTGATCTTTCAAGATGCACTTTCCAAGTTCAGGTCCAATAACTGAGCAATGGCGAAGTTGTAGGCAGAGTGTTACTGTGCCCCACACCCTCACCACCTGTTTAATGACTTCCACTGCTCCTCCAGCACCTTTCCCTCACCGTGAGTCCCCAGAAAATGCCCCACGGCTGTGAGGCTGCGTCTATACAAAAACACTTAGGGGTGTGATTTCTCCTTGGGCTTTCTGTGCTCAGAGCCCAGGAGGAAGAGTGAAAAAGGAAGAAAGGGGCCAGGTGGGTCTGGAGAAGATGGAAACCCGGACCTTCTGGGTGCCGACAGGTCACCAGGACCTTCCTGTTCCCGCTGGGGGAGGCAGCTGCCTGGTTTGGAGGCTCTCCTTTGTGCTGCAGAGGCGCTGCCCACCCTCCTGATGGGGTCCTGGGCTCTTTAAGTCCCAGAACAGATATTTGGTGCCTTAGACCCCTGGTGGAGTGATGGGAAACTCACCCCCCATTAACAGACACAGGCAGCACTCAGAGAAGGGCCAGTCATGGAACATCCCATCTGGCGCATTGTGGGATCTTGTCTAGAATTTTCTGTTAGCTACTGAGCCTGGGGAGTTTGCAGGTGCCTGGACCGCAGTGTTTGGACCTGAGCCAGCAACTCTCTGCTGTATTTTAGAACCACTGTGTTGGAGAAGCAGGTGAAGAGAAGAAGAGATTGTGGGGACCAGGAGACAGTGGTCCTTTGCAGTCCCAGGGTCACTTGCACTTCAGGGCTGGTCCTACTGCCTCACACGGGAAATGCCTACCCCTGAGCCAGACTATTGGCTGGCAGTCTCCTCTCAGGACTGGAAGTGGTGGGAGTGTATGGAGGGAACTCTGGTGAAGGATCTAGATGTCTGACATCTGACACAGCCCAAGGAACAGCTACTGGCCGAGGCTGCTCTGCCCACCTGAGCCTGCTCAGAGTCAGAAGCCCTTTCCAGGTCGTCTGGGGAGCACCTCACCATCGGACTGTCCTGTTAATAAAATTACCCATGCTGCCAGGGACAACGTTACCTAATAGTGTGATTACTTTTGGGAACTGCTGCTTAAGAACCACAGGAAGAAGGATGAAACAGTGATTCAGTGACCACTCATATACTTGCCACTCACATTCACTAGTTCTTAAATATTTTGTCTTACTTGGTTCCTTTCCATCTCTCTCATAGATATGATGTAGATATAGGTGTAGATACGTAGAGACACACATTCACCTTGACAGTTTCAGACTCGTAACATTCCACCTGTGTTCTAGACTGAATGTTTGTGTTCCTCCCAACTGTGTATGTTGAAACTCCCCAGGGCCCAGTGTGACAGTGTCAGGAGGTGGGCTTTGGGGGGATATTTTGGGCATGAGGGTAGAGCCCTCATGAATTCCATCAGTGCCCCTATAAAAGAGATCCAAGAAAGCTCTCTCACCTTCTTTCTGCTGTGTGAGGATATACTTAGGAGACCTAGAAAAGGGTCTTCATGAAAACCCAACAATCCTGGCACTCTGATCACAAACTTTCAGTCTTCAGAAATGTGAAAAATAAATGTCTGTTGTTGATAAACTACCAGTCTGTGGTGTTCTGTTCTAGCAGCCTCAGTGAAGACAGTCCCACCAAGCACTTCAGCAGACATCTCCTAATGATGCGGGTGTTCTCCTTATAAACGTGGCATCCTTGCTATATCTAAAACATTAGCACATTTTTCTAGTTATTCCTCAAATGTCTTTGAAAGCTGACATTTTGGATTCAGGATCCAATCAAAGTCACATTTGCACATTATGGTTCTTTACCTCCTCTTAATTTCAAAGACTTCCCTAGCTTTTATTCTTTCATTTTATTTATTTATTTTCATCTTTTATGGCATTGACATTTTGGAAGCACCCAGTAAGTTGTTTTGCAAAAATTCTCTCACTTTGGTCTTGTTAGCTTTTTTTCCCCCTATGAGTACAATTAGGGTGAATATGTTTGGCAAGAACACCATCTGGGGGTGTGGAGATCTTTCTTAGTGTATCTGTTCAGAAGGCATGTGACACTAGATTATCCCACTAATAGTGATGCTGAGTGTGACCATGTGGTTATGGTGGTGATATCCATTACCGTCATCCATTGCCATCATCACTGCTTTTGAGCCTTCATGCTCCCAAATTTGGTCAGTGGAAGCCCTTCATACCAGATCTGATATCCTTGTGACAGGACCTTGATTAGCCTTTGGTAGGCTTATTGTTTCTGATACACGATATCCTGTGTTCACTTTGCCCAGCCCAGACCTGGAATTGGCCATTTTCCCAAGGAGGCCACTCTGAGAGGAGAAGGATATTTGCAAATCCAAGGTGAAGGCTCTAGGTGTACCCATCACTGCCAGGCACCTGAGCCTCCACCCACGTGTCCTGCTTCCTTGGAATGAGGTCTCTTTGCCCATCCAAGCCAGCTGCCTGTGTCCCAAAATACTCTGAGTGTGGCTGAGCCAGCACAGCCGCCAGCCTGTCTGCCTCCCGGCCTAAGCACGAGCAGCCTTCTCTCCTTCAGGTTCCAGAGGTGTGACTCAGACCCTTGTGTGCTGTCCCCAAACTGCGGCTCTCCACACTCCCTCCTGTAAGTTCTTGCCTCCATTGTTGGTAAAGGGAGGAGTGGCCACCACTCAACATCATTTCCCAAAGAAATCTCCTTCCCCTCCTCCCTGACCTGTTTTCCTTTAAACAACTTTTTCCATGCCTCCTTTGCAAGACCTTCATGGTAGTCTTAAACCTCACTTTTGGCATGAGGTACCTCTTGCTTTGTGGCCACAGCCAAGATGGAAACCAAAATGGTTGCATATAAATATGCTTCACACATTTTGAAGCTGTTTCCCTGCCTCGGCCCGCGAGGCAGTCAACGGGGTCCGCCGATATACCTATAACGGATGAAGGGGGATGGGACAGGAGGCGCGAAGAATGGCAGCAAGACAAAGGATTCTGATCAAGCTGCAAATTTTATTTCAAAATGGAGGGAGTTATATAGAGGAGGGCAGTGGAGGAAGTGCAGTGGATAGGGGGCTTCAAAGCGTGCTCTAGCCTGCGATTGGCTGGGGGGTGCATGGCGGGCGCGTGATCAAGGCACTGATTGGTGTGCCACCCGCATGTCCAGGAGGGGGAGTTCTATGGCTCCTAACCTCAGCGTCCTGTTATTCAGGCGCAACCTTCAGGTCGGATTGTATCAGCCTGTTTCAGGCTTATCCCAGCCCCCAACATTTCCCCTACTTTCTCTGCATGCCCCACACTTGGTGTGGGCTAGAGTCTCCTCTTTTTCAGGCCTAGGAGGTGGATCAGGTGCTTTTTGCAGAGACATTAGTGAGGCATGAAATGCTCTCAGAGGCAAACAAATGGTGGCAGGTGGAGAAGGAACCTGAGCCAGGAGAGAAAGGTGTGGAGAAAGCTGTGTCCAGGGAGAAATCCTGGGAACTGTGGGGCCATTCACCCTGTTTTGGACCAGAAGTAGCAAGGTGCTGGTGACCAGCCAGCACCCCAGGGCCGTCTAAACAACCAGCTTGCCTTTCATGCCTCTGATTGGCTGGCCTAGTTTGGATCATGTCCTTCTCTGAACCAATCACTGTGTCCATGGGGATGCAGAACTCTGACAGGCCAAGCCTGAGTCAATTGCCTTCCCTGGAGCCACATAGACTGAGTGGAGAAAAGGGACAGAGGGGAAGGAGGAGGGTAGCTGGGCTACCCTAGGGGCTGATGGTAATATAAAGGGAAGTTTCACTTCCTGATCTCTGTGAGACCAGCTTGAAATTCCCTCTGAGCTCAGGTAGGAGTGGGAATACTGTCACCAATACATAGGACTGGGCTTTCTATGTATTTCGCATCCTGTGGTAGATCCATGATGGTCTGTAATTTCTAAAGAGGAACTGATATTTTATTTCATTTTATCTATTTTTATTTTCACCCAAGGATATGTTTCATTGATTTTAGAGAGGAAGGGGAGAGAGAGACACATTGGTTGCCTCCAGCACATACTCTGACCAGGATTTGGACCCAAAAGCCACGTATGTGCCCTGACCGGAATCTATCCACAACCTTTTGGTGTAAGAGATGATGCTCCAATCAACTGAGCCACCCAGCTAGGGAAGAACTGACATTTTAAATGACTAGAAAGAAAATTCTTTTGTGCCATTCTTTTCATGGTAGTCTATGGAGAGAGCAGTCTAGTGAGCTGTTCT